TTAAATTTTTTAAAACAAAATATAAAAAAAATAAAGTAAAACAAACTGTTTGTGAAACTAGCCACAGTTGCCAACGTTGTTTTTTTAATCGATTAATACACAACCAATTGTTTAAAAACACGGGAATTAGGTGTAAATAAAAAAATTTGGTAAAAAAACTGAAACAACGATTGTTTCTAAATACTTTAATTTTTTTTTCCAAATACTTTTGACCTAAAAACTTAGGATAACGTTGGCAACTAACTTTATAATATTAATATAATATAATTATTCATTAATATAGTATTAATTTATATAAATTCATATTAATGATAAAAAATAGTTACAGTATAGTTATTTTTTACCAATAATTTTATTTTTAAATAAAATTATTTAAAAATTATTAAAAGATTCAACAATTTTTTTATTCAGTCAACTTTCCAAGACTAGGAAGTTGACTGTATTACAACAAGCTCCTTCGACACGTTGTTGTGACATGCATGAAAAACTTAATGAATTACATGAACCATGAAAAGGCATTCTTTGAAAGTAAACACTCGTTGGATAGCCCAGTACATGAAACGGAGACGAAGAGATGGTTCGGAGAGAGGACTGCTTTGAGTCATGTGAGCCTATCGAAGAGTTGGGCGTAACATAATTGAATTCTTATTTTTTTATAAGAGTAAAAAAAATACAAATATTTATTAAATCAATTATTTATCTTTTATAATAAAGATAAATAATTTCTATTTCTAAGCAATAGAAATTATCTTCAATTAAATTATAAATACAGTAAAACCTCCCAAGAGTGGGCATTTTCAGCCAATCAAACCTTAAATATAGCTTTATAAAGAACTCTATTTTTGGTTTTAGTCTAAAAAATGCCCGCTCTTGAGAGAACCCGCTTTTCAAAAGAATAACTCTTGGAAAGTTTCACTTTAAATATTTATATAAATTTAAAATATTTAAAAACAGAAATTAAGTGTTACAATAACGCCAAAGGAACAGGCACTTCTGCTTGTCTCTGTGTTACTGTCTCTTTAACTTTTTTATTTTGGACGAATTTTCCCATCACCTCATGGGTAGTAATATCTATGTATTGTATTTGTCCGAGTTCGTTCAACACTGGTATAACGGTGGACACATTATAAAATTGTGGTATGACTGCTCTATAAGCTGTATTGATTCTTGTGTAGTCTAAAGGGAGGTTTACAGTCATGTTTTTCCCATTTTGTGAAAGAGGGGGGATACTCTTGATAATGTCAATGACGTCTTCTCCAAAACGCATTAAACCAACCTCGTCTAACAGACCAATTCCTTTAATTTTAGATGTTTTAGAGTTTTTAAAAGATTTTTGTGGGGGTAAATGGATGTCAATGTGTTTGTTTTGAATTAGAAAGGTAAGAGCTTTGTTCATATAAAATAAATGTTTCTGTTTCGTGTCCATGCCCTCGGTGTTGTCGATATCTTTGTCTTCTGGAAAAGTTGCGCCGACGACGACAATGTTATTGGCAATTTTAATCGACTTTTTGGGAACTTTTAAAATAAACTTGACACCCGCCATGTTGCTTAAACCAATGATCGCAGCGTTTTTTAAATATTCCCGACATAAACTTTTGCGTTTTTTGTCCGTCGAACTAACACTTTCTTTTGGAACACTTAAACTCATTGATTTTTTGAGTGGAAAATAGTTTCGACTCATATAATAATTATCTTTTGTTATTAAATTACAAATTAATAATTGTTTTACTATTTTTATTGGTATTTTTATATTTAAGATTATATATTGTTTTATTGGTAGAATATAAGTCGATTATACTATAAATTATAGTTTATTAAGCTAATCAACAGTTCAATCTTGAATAAACAACTATTCATGGAAAAAACGTTAATTGATGAATTAATTTTTAATTATAATTATGTTTAAATCTAATTTTTAATAATATCCCATTAACAAAAACGTCGTGATAGCACGTTCTAGTCCACACACTACGGACAACGAAAGTGGATGACATAAATACGCACAAAGAGTATTCGAAATATGGACTTTTTTATATTAAACAATTAAGGTTATTACTTGATTTTGGTTGAAGTTATGATTAATTTAATTAACTTTAGTAATAATAGTAATAATTATAATATTATTTATATTATATTAATTAATTGATTTTATTAAAAACTCAAATAAAAATATTGTAATTAAATATACCATCTTTTTAGTATATAATTATTAATTAACTAAAAAGTTAAAATAATTGAATTGAAAAAAAATAAGTCACCCACAAACAATCTCAATAATTTTGAGGCTTTCGTATAATATTTTTGAACTATATATAATAGTATAATGCAATTAATACTTATTATTACCACAAAAATACAAATTAAAGCATTTTTAACATAACAATACAATACGTGGATATAAAAAACCAATAATGCCAACGACGGAAAATTCTATTTATAAAGGCAATTAAATATATAGTAAAAATTATAATAAAAACAATTAAACGAAATGGATTGCCAAAGAGAGCAAAAAAGAGAAGATGAAACTTAATAATCAGATAAAGTTTGTTTCTTGTTTCTACAAAGTCGGTGTTATATCCAAGTGCAACACCCCCTCTTGTTAGAGTGTCCGAATATGAAGACTTATTTTTAGAGCATGCCATACGAAAAGGACAAACACGCAACCGACAAGTTCGGCTACAAGACCCAAACTGAGAAGAAGAATGGTGCTGGAGCACATGGATGGGGAAAGGCTGACGACGCTGAAACATGCCCAGCAGCTCTTGACAAGAACGATCCAAATTACGACAGTGATAAGGACAAGAAGCACTGAGTGACTTAATTGACTCTTAATTGCAACAAATGGTAATAATATATTTGTAATAGTAAAATAATTATATTATATAGTTAAAGAGTAGGGTGTTGGTATAGTTTATTTTATAACTTATTTTACTATTTTTTAATTTTTGTTATTTCAAATGTGATTGAACACTGAATGGAAACGGCATTATTATCGTCGAAATACCAAAAAATGGTAATTTGTTAGTGAAAAAGTGCTTTAAATAACCAAAAAGCAACAAAATGGAGTACCACATTTGATTTTTAGCAAAAGAAGAAAATGAATTAATGAAAGTATTATTATAAATAAACTAATAACAAACCAATGAATGATGAAGGAAAAATGAAAAAACATCCAGGAACTCCAGCACTTTTGGAACGACTATCATACACCCCATTAATTTCAAATAAAAAACACGAAAAAAAAAGACTAAAAACTGTTTGTCCCAAAACTGTTGTTTTCAAACAATTTAAAATGAAAGATGGCAAAGTCCACAAAAGAAATTTGTTTGTCCAAAAATAACGAAGAGCAATCTCAAAAGAGAGAGGATGTGGTCGACCGTCGAGCAATTAGTTCTTATCGAGTCCATTCAATACATTCGTCCACAGGTTTCCACTGATTGGATTGCTGTGAGTGAAACCGTCATCAAAACTTTACTCTTCAATGGTCCCGTCGATCAAAAAAAGTATGACGAAAATGAGTGTTACAAACAGCTGAAAGAACTTGAAAACAGATATGGGGCAGCTATCCCTGCAGAGTCTTCATTCTTCGGTTCACTTAACGCCATCCTGAGGAAGAAACGTATCGAGGAGTTGGACTATGACATAGAAACGTGTCGGAGAAACCTTCAATACCTCGAGCAATACGCTTAATCATTGTTTTTTCTTTCTTTATGTTTCTCTGTTGTTTTCGCTATCGGCATTCACTCCGGAAAAAAGCCACTTTTTAAGACAATTTCTAAGCAATCGGGTGTGCCCAGTTTCATGTTATAATAGTCATTTTAAGGCCTTTTGTTCGGGATTTTTTAATAGTTATTGAAAGTTAAAAAAAATTCAGAATAAAATAATTAAATCTTTTCTCTCATTGACCATATGGAAATAATAACAAATAAACGGCAATTCGGGGGTGGGTTGAGTATTTTATATTTGGATTTTTTTACGACTTAATACAGTTTGGTTCTTTCCAATACTATTTTTTACGTATAAAAATAAAGTTAATTAATTTGTTAAATAAATTATTCGTTGAGTAAATGATTCTTTTGTTTAATTAACTTTTAGTTATATTATAACGTATTTCAATGTATTTTTATCTGACCATTTAACTTTGTTTTTTTAATAAATTGGGAAAGAGAGAGTTAGGTAAATCTTTAGTTTGATTATTAAAAAAATAGAACTGTTTTTTTTATTCAATTAGTTGCCACGTCATTATAAATACATTGAAGAACACTTTATGATACAAAAAATTTATAGAAAAAAACGGCATTTCATAATTGTTTGTTACCATCAAAAAAATATGGATCTGAAAACCAAAAAATTGGTTTTATTATTGTTTTATTTTGGGGTTTTTAAATCTTTAAAATATATACATTAATGTTTTATTCTGTTATCATATATTTTATTATATAATATGGTAAATAAACTAATAATATATTATTTATCACATGAAAAAAGATAATAACTAATTGCCCTGCAAATATGACTAATATATTTATAATTTTAAATACTATATTTATTGTTTGTAAGAAAAAGTGAAGACGAGAGATTGTATAAAAAAAGTTCGTTCCTTAAATAGATTTTTGTATAATAAAAAGTATAATAAAATTTACCATACCAAGCTATACGCCATTTTGTCATAAAACCCGCTCTGTTGAACTGCTCCATCCATATGAAAAAGAAACCCCAACAGCACAAACATAACGAAGATCGGTTTCGCACTTTAACCAACAAAACGATAATCCAGCGGACTTTAGTTTACGTCACCAACATTCCTTATTGTATTATTGAGGGTTTGACTTTCCCAGAGATCTCGCAACGACTTTCAAGATTTGAGTACTTTGGGCAATACGGCGAGATTGTGAAAATCATCCCAAACATCAAAACCCTTCATAACATCCAATCAACTACCGGCCCCTCGTTCTCAGCTTACATCACTTTTAGAAACCCCGACAGCTCCGTCCAATGCATCCGATCGACAAACGGAGGGTGGCTTGAGGGTAAGGTACTCAAGTTTGCAACTTCTTCCTTATAATAATAAAATGTACTATAATTACTAATACAATAAATAATGCCACGTGGCATGAAAGTCAGATAATAACTTGTAGTTCGTCGTTGGGCACCACAAAATACTGTTCCCACTTTTTGCGAGGAAAACAGTGTATAAACCCTGAGTGCACCTATCTTCATCAATTAGTGTCGGAACGAGATTATGTGACGAAAGATGATTTGACTGCCGGAAAGAACCGGATAGAAGAGGATATCAGCCAGCGTGTGGCAATTGACTCAGCCGGCAAAAACTATTTGCCGCCAGTGTTTGCGATTGAACCCGTCGAGATCGACTTGGACACCTTCACCTGCGAATGCCAAAACGTCATGAAGATGGTCGGACGATACCATAAAGTCTTCAGCAAAGACGGAAATAACTCGTACCCCGTCCACTCCTCGTTGTCGCCTTTAAGAGCGTTTCGATACGACCAAAGCGACTCCCCAAATATCGTCGTCCCGAACTTCATCTTCTTCTTATACAATACACGGTCAACGAACGAACCCGAAGTCTCGATACCGAAAGAGTGGGGAGACCAACAGAAAATCGACTCCACGGGGGACGAAGAGGAAGTTTTGGAAGAGTCTGAAGAGGAAAAGGAGGTTGAGAATAAGTGTGAGGAGGAGGTCAAGACCCAAAGTATTGTTTGTAAGGACTATTTGCAATCGTTGAAAAGCATTGGGAAAAACATGAGCATTGGGGAACTCATTAGAAATTATTATGGAAGCGCAAACAAAATGAAAGGAAAACAAAGTGATGAACAAGAAAAGATTGAAAAGTGCGGAACGAGCGAGATACGAATGCCAGAAATGAATGAGATTGGCGAAATGGCTGTGTTAAATGAGACGGAAGAAACGAGTGACGAGATAGAGAAGAAGGTCGAAACGATCTTGGAAGAAAATGAAGAAGAGAGCGGGGGAGAGGAAATTGAAGAAGTCAAAGTTGAAAAAGTGAAAGACGAGTGGACGACCGTCGAAAAGGGAAGATCTTTTAGAAAGGCAAAATCAAAACCATCGAAACATGTTGGGAATAAAGAGACGGAAGGAGAGAGTTCTGAGACGGACAACAGTGCAAAGGATGACTTAGTCCGGACGAAAAGTGATGAGACCTCAGAAAGCGAGAAATTGGAAAAATCAGAAATAAATGAAAAAAGTTCTGAAAAATATGAAGAGAGAGATGAGAAGCGAGATCGCAAAAGTCGGAAAGACCAAGAAAGGCAACGACTTAAAGAACAGGAAGAGAAGCGTCTCGAACGTGAGAGGATTGAAAAGGAGAGAATAGAACGTGAGAAGAACGAGAAATTGGAGAGGGAACGCATCGAGAAAGAACGGCTTGACAAAGAAAAAAAAAGCAAAGAAAAGGCAAAAGATGACGACTCCAAAGACGAGCAAAAGTCTTTAAAGAAAAACAAACTTAAGAACAAAAAAAAGAATAACAAGAAGAAGCAAACAAAGCGAACCACCGAGAAGAAAGAACCCATAGACGAAGCACAGAAACCACCAACAAGAGAACTCCCGAAGGTCAGAACACAAATGGACCCTCTAGAGATCATCGAGACGAGAGTTAAAGAACTCCAAAAAAGATGTTTACAACTCTTCGATCGATCGTCCACTCAAATTCAGGTCCTTGCCGACAGAAAGGTCGAAATCACTCCAATCATCTGTCAATACCCTCCTTCTTACTTCGTGGTTGACCATTAACCCCTTGTGTATTACAATTAAAACACTTTGTTGTATAATCCTCATTACTCAATTTTGGTTATTAATTTAGTTTTATTCTATATATAGAATTAATATAGTACTTTGAATTAAACGTTCTAATAAAAATTACTACCAAAATCAATTTTTATTCCCCAATGAGCTGATTCCGAAGATGATTCTCATAACGTTGTAAGAAACAAAGAATGTCACCACAGATGCGATGATAAGTGTTTTGTATCTGATCTTCTCATTCTTAACTCTTTGGTCTTCTGGCTTCTCAAGGGTTGTTGGTCCATTTTGCTGACTTGTTTGTGGCTTAACACCATTTGGTTCTGATTGATCTTCTGTGCCTGTGTTATCGACTGTGCCATTTTTTTCTTTTTCCTTTTCTTTTTTTTCTTCGTGCTTATTATTCCCCGCTTTTGCTTTTTCTAACTCGGCTTGTTCCTTTTCTCTTTGAGCGTCTTGAGCGGCTTTTTCTGCCATCTCTTGTAACAATTTTTCTTTCTCCAATCTGACCTTTTCTAACTCAGCTTGTGCTATTAATCTCTCTTTGGCTTCCTCTTCTTTTATCCGTTGAAGCTCTTGTGCCATTTTCTCGGCGGCTAATCTATTCGCCTCCTCTTGAATTTTTTTCTTTTCAGCTTCTTTTGCGTCTTGTTCGGCTTTTTCTTCTTCTTCTCGTTTGTGTTTATCGGCTTCTGCTCTCTCTGCCTTTTCACGTTCTTCTTTCGCTCTCATCAGTTCGATCTCTTTCTGTACCTTTTCTCTTGCAAGTCGTTCAACTTCTTCTTGCATTTTAGCCGCATTTGCCTGTTCTCTCATCTTTTCAGTCTCCGCGCGAGCTTCTTCTCTTTCTTTAGCTTCTTGTGCTATTCTTTCTTTTTCTTGAGATAAAAGTAGTAAAGATCTTTCTAATTGAAGTTTCTCATCTTCTAACAACTGAGATTTTCGTTGAGCTTCTTGAGCAGCAGCAAAAGCAGCTTCTTTCTCTTGTTCCGCTTGAAGTGTTGCTTTTCTTGCATCTTCAGCTTCCTTTTCTAATCGTTCTTGCTCTATTTTTAGTTGAGCTTCTTTCTCTTCTTGTTGCTTTTTCAGTCTCAATTCTAACTCTTCTTTCTCTTTCTTCTCTTGTTCCGCTTGAAGTGTTGCTTTTCTTGCATCTTCAGCTTCCTTTTCTAATCGTTCTTGCTCTATTTTTAGTTGAGCTTCTTTCTCTTCTTGTTGCTTTTTCAGTCTCAATTCTAACTCTTCTTTCTCTTTCTTCTCTTGTTCTGCTCTTTGAGTAGTTAAACGGTCTTCTTCTTTTTTCTCTGTGTGTAAATCTCTGTCTTTGTTAACAAAAAACAAATTTAAAACAAATAAATAACAAACGATTT